TCTTCTTCGAGACGACTCGTCTCACCGGAAGTCTGGTCGCGATATTCAAAACGGAAGTGAACTTGAGTTACCGGAAGTCAGCTTACCAAGAGATGTGGCCGCTGAATCTTTTGACGGATCGTGGGGAGGGGACGGGGGTTAATTTTCCGATCGCTGTTTTCTTCCCTTCTCACTTGACGATCTATGAAGCCTTGTTGGGACCACTCGTAGTCAAATTACTCTCTCTGATTAGTAATAATTCTCTTTTCAGTTCAACTGCCATGGACGAGGGAGAGCTGCAAAACCTGGGAATCACTCACTTGCTGAATGCGGCACATGGCAAAAAGCTCTATCACGTCCAAACCGGCCCAGATTACTACTCAGAATCAGGAATCATCTACCACGGTGTGCCAGCCATGGACATGTTCACATTCAAACTCGACCGCTATTTCGACGAAGCGTGCGATTTCATTGGCAAAGCTGTTGGAACGAAGACAACTGGGAAGCTGGACGGGAAGATACTTGTTCATTGTAAGGAGGGCGTCAGTCGATCTGCGTCTCTTGTGTTGGCGTATTTAGTGAGGGATCAAGAAATGCACCTTAAGGATGCAGTGCGGCTCGTACGAAGCAAGCGTCAAATCACACCCAACGAGGGGTTCCTTCAACAGTTGATAGATTTTTCGTATAAGCTCGGAAGAGCATAGATCGCCGAAATTTAAAATTGTTATGTCGAAATGGGAAGATATCTATACAGGAATGAAACGATGTAGTATCGATTACATTTCGCCTTAAAATTCGATTTTGCACGAATCGATGAATATCAAAACTACAAGATTGTCACGGACAGTCACGCGTATTTTGTTATGTAATGTTTAGTCACGTTTAGTCACGCGTTTGCGGTTTTGTTTGTACAGATGGATTACGATTTCAACTTGATTTACCAGTTTTTACACTATGATCAAATTACTTGTATATATATATTTCTACACGTTCAATTTTAGTACACTTTTCGATAGGTCAATAAACGAATTCAAAGATACAAGCGTGTCGTTTATACGAGTTTATAACAAAGATCCCCTATACCTTAGACTGCAAAACAGTCTCTCTTTTTCTCGAGATATTGTGCGCGACGCGCGAATTGAGAGGCGCGAAGCGCCGATAATCCACGCGCGAGCCTCTCCAATCCCTCTCGTAATTTTCACGCTCGTTCCAGATCCTTTCGGGCCAGGTTCAGCCTGACTCTTGCGCTAAAAAACGGACTGTTTTGCAGTCTACTATACCTCATTGCACAATAGAATCGCATTTAAATATATTAGCCCTTCCACGCATGACGAAGAGTAGACTTCGAAAACGTCTTTCACGTTCACGCAAAAATCAAAGTAATCATTTCAGACAGTAACAGTGACGTCATCAGAGATTAATCCACGCATAGTGCGGTTTTCAATTGAGTGTAGGAAAAACCAAAACCAAAGTAATCACCGTCGATTACCAGCCGCTGTTCGGGAAAATGAGCCCGCGCTCCTCCCAACGAACTCGGGGAGGAACGAAGACCGGACTCGAGTGAGCGGCGGAAATCGAGCCTATGCCAGTTGTTCTGATTGGTCGGACCAATCACAACAAACGAAAACAACACAAGGAACCAATCAGAACTCGAAGCAAATACATGTAGCCGGCCGGCGTCAAGCGCGGGGAAACGCGTGCGACCAAGTCACAATTGGTTTTAGTTTGGCATATGATTGGTTAAGAAAGTGGCGCGAGTTTTTCGAACCAATCAGAGAGCGTAGTAAACCAAAACCGAAGCAAACGCTTGTTTACTTTCGATACTCAATTGAAAACCGCTCTAAAAGAATAATTCACGAATCACGTTTATCTTAGCGCTTGCTCACGGTTCACATGTGCTACAAGCCGCACAAAATTGTGTTTATGTGGACATTAAAATAAAGGATCACGAATATATAACAGACTCAATCATGGATCACGCTTAAATAAAATCACCCAATTCACACACGTCACGAAAAAAGTATATATAGGTATTTCAAGTGAAATTTTACGTTCACGAGTAAGGTAATGAAATGTCCTTAAATTGCATAACATTTGTGAAACAAAAAGTGTTAAAATACAACGCAATAATGTTATATTTATTTTATAAAATAAAGTTATATTATAATTAAGCAATGTAAACGTGACGTCGTAACAGTGTTATGTTAAGTTCCGAAAGCTCCCCCCCCCCCCCCCTCTCTCTCCCCTCCCCGAAAATAGCGATAAAGTTTCAGAATTGTTGTCGCAAAATCCCCAAACAAAGTAGCCTAAAGGCAGGCCAAGCTGGATATCCAATCAGCGCGCGCGTTTTAATTAACAAATAAAGAAGCCAAAACCATGTATTATACTGTCATAAAACACGACGGGAATTTGAGAACACGAGAGAAATTTAGAAAACACGAGCCACAGGCGAGTGTTTTCTAAATTTCTCAAGTGTTCTCAAATTCCCGGAGTGTTTTATGACTGTATAATACATGGTTTTGGCTTCTTTATGTGCTTTTAAAATATAGATTAACGCGCGCGAAACGATAAAACACGGCTTTTCTATGATTTATACTCTGATAAAACATGGTTTTTAACCAATCAGAGCGCGCGCATTTTCCAGTCTATGTTTTAAAATCAAATCAGTTATAAACTCTTATGCAGGCCGACTGGACATCCAATCACAACCTCTATCCCAGGCTCTCCTATTAATTTCCTCCAGGGAGGGATAGAAACTCCTTATAAATGGTTTGCATAATTACGGACATAGCGGCGGGCAACCGAGTGTGCGCAGTAGCACTCAACTAGTTGCTAAGAGGATTGTCCCACGGGAACTTATTAACAATAAAAAAACTTGTCAGACAAGAAATTCACACCTAAAATTAGTATGCACTATAACAAAAAGGTGTTTTCCTGGGTTGTTTCCGCTCGAAAACGAACACGTGTTGATCCGACTTCGCTTCCCGTTCCAACCTCGTTCCCAGGGTCTCTCTTCTTCCCGCCAAACGCGATTGAAAAGAGACCTCTTTTCAATCGCGTTTGGCGGGAAGAAGAGAGACCCTGGGAACGAGGTTGTTCCCGTTCCAGTAGTACTCATCCGAAAGACTCTCGCTGCATGTAGCATGTAAATGCAGCTCAGACGGATTTTTCGCTTGTTGTTTCACGCTGCCGAGATATCAGTTTCTTGGCGGCGTGAAAGATCAGGCCAAAAATCCAAAATTCCGCCCAGCGCTGTGTTTGCAGGCTACACGCGTACAGCTCTACGCTGCGAGCTTGAAAAAGTTTCCCGGGTTAGAAAACAATGAAGTTTTGGTTGACGTCATTCTTAGCAACGGCTTGATTGACACGATTGACACGATTCGCACTGTTGGTCTGTTGTCCTCAAAGAAAAGTGCCGGCTTTCTATCCCCCCACCCCCCTGATTTCCTCCTACGCCGAAGGTAAGGAGAGAGAGGCTGGGATCGAGATGGATCCAATCAAAGCGCGCATTTTTTAAATAAACGTTTATAACGTGCAGAGACTGCACTTCTGAGTCGATTTTCCTTTTCAGTTCTTTCTTTCAATGAATTAACATCTCAGTGCCGTTTGCCTCAGTTGGCTTTAATTTATAGCATCGTTTTGTAGCTAAAAGTACTAAACAGTCATCGACGTTTATGAAAACAATAAGCCGACGCGCTTGGCACAATGAAGGCAAACAAAGTCTTTCAACGCGCCAAGCCTATAATTAAAATATGAATAGGTTATGTTCTGAATTTGTTGTCCGTAAACAGAATAAGCTAAATGTTCACTCATTTCAAATTTGAAATTCGAAGTGTTGATTGTTCAAAACGAGGACGTAAGAAAACAGCAATGGTCAGCTTCAGAGCTTTTGTGTTCTTCTCAGTTTTGTTGGCCTTCGTGCGACTCGGTTGCAGTGCCTTTAAACGACGATTTTAAAAGGAACGATGTAAACATGGGTGAGTACAATTTTTAAATGGTCAATATATGTTGTACTGAACTATCTGATAGCATTATTCTATTCAGTGTGGTTGGGATTGAACAAGCTCACCGTTTATCGTCGTGTCCAAGTCTCGAAATAAATAAAAAATGTTTTCAGGTCCCCTCCCAAAAAATGTTTTAGGCCTTTTAAAAACGAGATTTTGGTACATAGATAATCTAATTTGTAATTTATCTTTGTTCATTTTTTAATGACCGTTAACTCTGAAAATATGAAAAATCGTTTATTTCAATGTTTATGGTTTCAATTTTAAGTTTTAGTTCAACACACGTTGTTCACTCAGTGAAATGAAAAGTTTGGCTGAGTTAGTTCAATAATAAGGTTTGGGCTAGGTCTGCAAAATATATCATCTTCAAAACAAGAAATTATTAACTGTAACATTTAGGGCCATTTATACGGGAGAAAAATAAGACGCGAACTGTACCGTTTATACGTTAGCGTCCTCGCGTCCTTCATAAGACGCGAAGATCACGTATAAATGGTTCGCGTCTTATTTTTGATACAGCCTTGTTGTTGTTACGCATGCGCACTTATAGTTCACGTCTTATTTAGGACGCGAAAGCATTTATACGAGGAAGTTCACGTCTTATTTAAGTCGCGTCTAAAATAAGACACTAACGCTTATTTTGTACTATTTATACGATCAGTTCGCGTCTTATTTAAATCGCGTCTTAGATAAGACGCGTCTTATTTTCAACCGTATAAATGACCCTATTGTAGAAACGAATTTAAGTGAATGGAATCTATAGTAACTGGCGGGCGTTCAGAGAGGGTAGATTTCCTGCCATGAATATTTGTAGATACGATGATGAATCAATTAACACACAGAATGAGCGCGAAAACTCTAGTTTTCTTTACAATTCTTCAGTAGTCAATTCCACCATTTTAAAGGACGCAGGCACCTTTGGCTTTAAATGCTAACGGTTTCCTCATAAAACCTGAGTACTAAACTGTTTATGTCCATTACTCTTGGGAATATCTATATTGTTTAAGTCTGTGCTGAGACGCGGTGGCCAAATAGTTGCGGCGTTGGACTCTGGATCAAGCGATCCGGGTTCGAGCCCTGGCCGGGGTCATTGTGTTGTGTTCTTGGACAAGACACTTGATTCTCACACAATGCCTCTCTCCACCCAGGAGTATAAATGGGTAGGAGTCAAGCCTTTATCATAAGGCACTGCAATTAATTAGTTTATTAGTACCTCTACACAAAAATCTAGTCTGAAGTGTCAGATGGCTGACACTTCAGACTACACAAAAATCCAGAAAAACAGGCATCAATCGATTGGGAGAAAAGTTGAAACGCACAGGCCAAGAGAATCTGCAATGACCCAAGTCGGCAAAATCTTTCTCTATGCCTGATAGCATAATACACATCAAGATCGAATGATAAAGGAACCCAAAATTCCGTTGGAAAAAAAACGCGCAGAAAACTGTTGACATTCACTAAAGTCAAACATGCATCATAATGTAATCTTCTGTCCTGGCTTAATGGTTATGATGACCAGAACAAAGGAACCAATTAAAGGATTAAGTATTTTTGTTTTCTTTTATTATTTGCGAGACGATTGTGATCTACATAAACAATTTAAAAAAAAATAATTATCATTGAAATTTCTCGCGTGGTTCGTTTACCACGCTAAAACCATACATAGAGTGACGTCACAAATTAACAAGTCGAAGTTTAATAATTGTTTGTAAAACATTTTAAAAAAATATTCGCCTCCCATTGTATTTATATGTGAGCTATTTTCCGCATTCCTGAAGGCAATATCCTGAAGGAAATATCCAGGCTTATGAGGGATTTGAAAAGCCGTAGTTTTGTGGATTTCCAACGCAGCTATTAAATTCACAAATGTGCGAGTATGGTCATCATATGACAACATAAAAGAGCCTCTATGTATATTTTTTAACCCCTCGCTTTTTACATCTGTAGAAAATGACAAGGGAGGCGGGTGATACCGCCGGGTTTTTTTCTGATAAAATTACTGCAGCAAGTGCATATTGACTTGAATTAAGCCATACTGTTCGTTCCGAAAATTCCCCATTCTCGTCCCCAGAGGCCACGATCATTTTGGTCAGCACCAAGAATCGAGACCTCTGGCCGGTCCCAATTTGTTGAGCATGCTCAGAGTACTCGTTCTGTATTCTCAGCCAATCAGATTTGTCAGATTTGACGGCCAGCCGGCCAGAGGTCTCGATTCTTGGTGCTGACCAAAAGGATCGTGCGTGGCCTCTGGGGACGAGAATGAAAATTCCCTCATACTTTGACGCGATTTATAGACAAGTGACTAATAATATAAGCTTCGGCAGCAGACAGAGACAGACCGAGAGAAAATTATAGCTACCCAGAAAGTCTTTGACCTAAACTGACTGTGAATATTCCAGAAATCATATTTTACAGAAATTATTTGACATCGGCACAGTTCATTAAACAAACTCGCATTCTGATTGGCTGAAGGACTCATGTCAGTTGGATGACAAGAAATGGTTTCCTCGCGCGCCTGATATAAATGATAATTTACAGAGGAAATTTTTTTCAGACAACTTTGCCCAGTTCACTAACATAATATACCGTCTTTTTTCGCAGATTCTATGGACAATGCCTTTGATTCAATATTTCGTCGAGTTCAAGGTAAATGTTGTTTTATTCGCTATTAAAATTTAATAACTTGTTAAAGAAAAAAGCCATGCAGTACTAGACCATTAGTGAAGCAAACATTAGTGAAAAAAGTCCGCGTCTGGAACAAACATCACCTCCGTAGCAATGTTCAACAGAACCATAGCAGAAGGAAAAGAGCATGTGTGTTATTTTCAGGTCCGGTGAAGGCTAGCTAGGGTCGAAGGGCCGGAAAATGTTTCGGTCCCCACCTTATAAATAGGTATGGGTTCGCCAATGTAATATGTACTTGAAATAAAATGTTAAGCCCCCCCCCCCCCCCCCTCTCTTGAGTGACTTATTTTACCTAGAGCCCCCCCTCTCCTTGCTTTGATTTTACTTTATGCCCCCCCCCCCTCTGGTTTTCCACCCCCCCCCCCCCCCTGGTAATTATTGCACAGTCCCTTACAAAGGAAAAACGTTTGATTGTCTGGCGAGAATACGAATTCGCGGGAAAAGCGAATCTAAAAATAACCTGGTCTGTAAAAACGCTGTGACACGAATCCAGTCCAGTTTGCTCGCTCCTAGTGATGGGCTCCTGGTACAACTGATTTTATTTGGATCGATGACACGTTCTTTCCGTCTGAAGCAGACGTGAAGAACGACGACGACTGAATTAATATAAATCACAGACGAAATTAAATAATTGGGATCGAGACTAAAAAAACAATTAGCTACTAAGCCTAACCTGCTTAGAAGTAGTTTTAGCCCCATTAAATTATCTTACACAAACTCCGTTATCCACTGGATAGTGATTTATCCGATGGATGACCATGGATAGCATTATCCATCCTTGAAACAACCGAGCCGGGCAGGGAGTGTAAATGGTACCGGGAAATTGTTTTGGGAACCTGAAAAAAATGCTGGACTAGCATCCCCCAGGGGGAGTAGCACCTCCTACTTTGCTTCATTCGGAACTCGGAATTAAGGGACTGTGCAATAATTACCAGGAGGGGGGGGTTGGAAAACCAGAGGGGGGCATAAAGTAAAATCAAAGCAAGGAGAGGGGGGGCTCTAGGTAAAATAAGTCACTTAAGAGAGGGGGGGGCTTAACATTTTATTTCAAGTACATATTACATTGGCGAATCAATACCTATTTATAAGGTGGGGACCGAAAAAATTTTCCGGCCCTTCGGGCCTAGCTATCCTTCACCGGACCTGAAAATAACACACATGCTCTTTTCTTTCTGCTATGGTTCTGTTGAACATTGCTACGGAGGTGATGTTTGTTCCAGACGCGGATGTCCAACAATTAAACATGTAGTAGGAGCTCTTCTTTCTGTTATAAGATTTTAATCCACAGGTGCGTGTAGAGAAAATGTAGGGTACTTGTATAAAGGTGTGTGTATACTGTGAAGAGGGGGGGGGGGGGGGGGGGGTCGTACATAATTTCTGACTGATTAGAGGGGGGGCAATAACTAAATTCACTCTTTTAGGAGGGGGGGTATTACCTAATACCCCCCCTCCTGATAATTATTGCACAGTCCCTAAGTGAGGGCATAAGCCACCTGGCTTCTCCAATCCAAAGCACTACAACGGACGTTACCTTGCAACGCTAAGTTGCAGACAGTGGAATCCCGATTTCTCGAACCCTCGATTTCTAAAAAAACCCCGATAACTTCAACCAAAAGTCGTTTCCCTTGGATTTGTTTCACTTTAATTTTACCCCCGATATTTCGAACACCCGATTTCTCGAACCAATTTTCGTTTCCCTTGGAGGCTCGAGAAATCGGGATATTCCACTGTGTTCTTATTTATTAATTTAAGGATGCAGGAACCTAAATTCAGCAGCGTTCTGCAAAAGAATGAGGAAGTTTTGTGGACGTAGCGATCATAATGGTAGCTACATGAAGGCCAAGTGCCACTGGCAGTGTGGCTGTGAGTAAGGTGAGAATAAGTAGCGGTTAGCCGAGCAAAACCAAAGCAATTACTGGGGCCAATCACAAAAAAAACGTAAAAATAAAACGTACCAATGAGAACTCGAAGCAAATACACATAACCGGCGCCATGCGCGGGAAAACGCGTGTGACCAAGAGATAGATCATCCTCTCTTGGTGTGACCAAGTCGTGATTGGTGTTTTGGTTTTGCATCTGATTGGTTAAGATCGAGGTGGCGCGAGTTTTTTTTAAACCAATCACCGAGTGTAGTAAAGCAAAACTAAAGTAATTCCGGATTACTTTCGGCAATCGATTGAAAAGAGCTCTAAGAAAAGCGCATCGATTCGCCTAATGATTGTGAGTTGGATTCAGGATAGAGAGGTCTGGGTTCGAGCCTGCGCAAAAAAGCCGAGGTCATTGTGTTGTGTTCTTGGCAAGACACTTTACTCTCACAGTGCCTCTCTCCACCCATGAGTATAAGTGGGTACCAGCGAACTGTTGGAAACATGACGTAATGCTGGGAGTAACCTGCGATGAACTAGCGGCATCCCATCCACTAGAACAGACCATAATTTGTTCCTCTTTCAAGAATTTGGTTGATTTATTTTTCTTGGTGTTCTAGAATTATTTTGTAAATAAAAAAGGTACTGAAGCACAGTTTTGACCAAAAAAGGTCAAAATCCCCGTGCTACTGCCCCTTTTAAAAAAACGCCAAAACCGATCACGAAATGTTGGCTCGTAGATAGAATTGAAAAAGAAAAAATTTATGTACGACTACAATTAGACAGCGATATACTAATATCAGTCTATTCATGATCATATGTTTTGTTTCCAAGGTGAACTGACAGCTCTCTCAGCCAAGACGACATCAAAGAGAAGACTAATCGGATCTGAGAACAAACCACCTTGTCACAGCTAACGTTTTTATATCTTAATTATTACGAACAATAACTATTTTGTAATGCTTTTCGTTTGAATAACTGAATACATGTATCGTCACCACTTGTATTGATAACTTAATAAACAGCACGTGAAATATTCAAGGAAGAGTTAACGTATCTATCACAACCAGCTCTTTCAGGGATTGTTGCGACCACCGCGCTAAGGAGAGCTGGGAACGAGAGCATAAAGCACGAGTAAGAGCTGGAAACGAACGCAAGGCGCGTGCGGGGACTGATGGGAAGAATATTTCCGAGAGAATGAGTGGATGTTGAGGTAGTAATAATAACTTGGTCGGTGTCATGAAAAAAACCAAATCGGGACGCAAGGAAAGATTCCTACTTTTAAGACTTTTAACTGGTGAATGCGAAAGCAAGGAACGAGTTTATAGCATTTGGTGGACAAATTTCACTCGGTCGGTCGATCGATGGGCTGTAAACGAAATCGCGCTATTAATTTATGCATATTAATTTATTAATTTACCAGTGGCTCATAGAAGCCTTTGATTCTCCTTCCCATCAGTCCCACCTCTTACTCGTGCTTTATACGTTCTCGTTCCCAGCTCTCGCTTCGATTCGTGCTCTGAGCCCAACCGAGAAAGGC